CCCGAGATACGACTTCATTCTTACCACCTTTACTCCCTTTTACCCCCTATTTTATATATTTTTTTGTTTATTACAATACATTTCATTTTTATTTTTTCATTAGTAAATTTTATTAATAATTCTCGTGAGCCAACAATTTTCTACGCATATCCGTGGCACCAATATTATAATTAAACCTTTAGTGCATTAATAGAACTATTAAGGATACTTTGACACCTCAAGGTACAAGGGTGATTTTAAACTTTTTACTAAAATTATTCATAAGAATAGTAGCGAAAAGCATATACTTATCACCTATAAAAATATTATACATGTCGATGCGGATGGGGATCCGACGCCATAAGCCTCATTTATNATTATACATGTCGATGCTGATGGGGATCCGACACCATAAGCCTCATTTATGCCGCCCACGTATATAACTCACATCTTTTCATCTGTCAAGTTATCACCTTAGTTTTTCTCTTACAGTTTATGTCAGTGTATTCTTGTATGTTTTCTGACTTTTAACTTGACTTCTTTCAATTAGTCTAAATACTTACATTTGTTAAAATAATGANATAAATACTTACATTTGTTAAATTAATGAACACTTTGCTTAGAAATAAATACGCTTTTATAATTTTCTTTTTATTAACATACTTCCTCTAATTTAAACAAACGCTTCAACAACTGCAAATCACTTTCCTAGATTTTATCATCGCTATCCCAGTAAATATCGGGTAAGAGTCTTTTTAATACACAAACTACACCAATCAAGTAATAACTAAAAATCAGAGTATTAGTATTTATTATGTCTTTACGAATGATGCTATTATCATTCTTTACTATTAATACCACCCTGATCATCTTTATTTTTGGTTATTATAATCGTTTACTAATTTGAAACTCAACCTACTGAAACTGGCATCAAATTAAAAAATACAATATCATTCATCTCCGGACAAGTTAAGACTACGGTATATGTATCATCATCTACTCATCGACTGAGTATAGTATCCATTGGAACCATTGCGCAAGCTGTTTGACATCCAAAACAGGAAATCGTTAAATATGCGTCTAATGACAGAGACTATCATGAAAATCCCACGATTGTAGTTACGAGTGTTAAATAAAATTTACTAATAATAGTAATGATTCATAATACTATATTTGTTTTATTTTTTAAATTTTATTCTTTACACAAAACTAAAATTTATCATTTTTTTAATTATAAGTACAATGTTTTATATTTAGTTTAATTAATCTTGTAATTTAATTGTAATAACTAAAATTAATTTCTAATTCATAATACTCCATGGTGTCGTTTTTGAGTTACTTGCTGTCTTAACAATAGTTTTTAATCTATTGTGTTTTTTGAACTACTGCATGAAAATAATTTTGATAAAGAAAACGTAGAAGATGAAGTAGGAGATGATGTAGAAGAAGAAGAATTTTCTTTAATGTGAAGACTTAAATATTTATAAATATCATTTAGACCAAAAAATATAGCTGAAAATAAATTTTGTTAAATTAATGAAATATTATTCAATATTTTATGTAATGGTATTGTTATAATTCTATAGAAGTGCTATTATTCCAAAAGCTACAAGATCTCTTATTTCCTTATTTGTATATTGATTACAAATTTTATTATTTATAAGTGTTATATATTTAAAATATATAAAGGGAAATAGTTTATTTAAAAAAATATGCTGAATGAAAGAGGTATATAAATAGTATTTATCATAAAAAATTATTTTGATCCATATATTTTTCAAAAAGTTAAAACATTATAAAATAAAAAATAATATTTTTACAAAAATCTTATTTCAGCTTTAATGCGATGCTGAGAAGTTATTAATATTACTATGATGTGTTTTTTTTTTTGTGTGTGTCTCTTACCACTATTTTTCAGCTCTTTTCTTCACAGTGAAAATGGCTACTGTATTTTTGTCTTAAAATTCTTGTTTTTATATTTTACAATTTTAACTTTAAAATGCTATAACTTTTTGAAAAATGTAAGGATCAGTACAATTTTTTAATGAAAAGTATTATTTTTATACATCTTTAATTTAACATACTCTTTTTGTAAAATCGTACCATTTCTCTTTATACAGAGGGGTTCAAAACTTAATAATGCATATAGAAAATAGAACTTTTTGAACTTAATTTTTGAAAGTGTTCGGGATATACTGACACTTTTATATATATATATCTTAAATTAAAGCTTAAGTAATTTACTTTATTATGGGAAAAAAAAATTTCGGACTTTATTTTCTTTTCATGGTGAAAACGGACATCAATTTTCGAGGGTAATGTCATCGACTAGATACGATTTGTGATCTTTTGACGTATCTTTGAAAGAAATCGGTTCGGTAAGAGCTGAGATAAAGTGGTAACAGACATACAAAAATAAACTCATCATAGTAACATTTATATCTCCTCAGCTTCTTATCGAAGTTAATAAGTATTATTTAAATAAAAATATGACAAGTTAATAGTTGTCATAATCGTTTAGTAGATTCTATCAATACAATAAAGTGTCATGTACTGAGTAAAAGAAGTATTTGAAAATTATTTGATTATATTTAATGCTATTCTGTAAACACGACGACTACCAAAAGTTATACATGACATTTTTTGTAAACTGCAAACATCATTTTTACATTCAAGACAAGCGTTATACATTTTTTGGTCATAGGCAAATTATAACTACAATTACTAATTTAATCAACAAAATACAGAATTAAAATGCTATAAAGAATAAACGGTCCACCAAACCAATGAAATTGTAAGAACAAAACTGTTCGAAGTTGAACAAGTTCAAAATAGATGTTTCCATTTGAGAAAATTAAATTTAAGGTTTTTTATACTAAAGAGTTAAAATAATAATATAATTATATATAAAAACTTAACAATAATATGTGGATAATAATATAATTATCCACATATTATTGTTAAGTTTTTTCAAATAAATATTTTTTATCTGTAGCATGATTAAAAATGTTTAATAGTTTCTGAGAATATAAGTGTCTTATCCAAAATCAATCACACTGTATAGATTCAAATGATTAAAAAACTCGGGTATTAAAATAAATACATCTTAATTTTAGTAACAAGCGTAGTTTACTGTAATCATTATCATAAAACATACATATTTACCTTTTTCATTATTAATTTGTTTAAGTACATTTTCGTTTAATTTATTGTTAACCTCTGAATACTTTTTTAATAATTCTATCAAAAAATTTGAATCATAATAATTATGGCTATCATTTATTGTTTTACATTCGTCTATATATTTGGGAGTTAAATTCTAAAAAAAAATATATAAAACAAATATCATTATAATATGACTTAATAATAATACAACATGGACTTTATTTAAAAAAATCTTAAGGTCCCATAATTTCGAAACATGAAAAATTATATGAAAAAAATGACATTGTATGCATAATTTGCTATTTTAAATCCTTATGCTAATAAGGGCAGCAACAGTTGGATTTTCATAAAGAATATATCAAAAAAACTGTAGCACGGTGTGGACATAACATAGTTAGGACAAATATATATAAGATGATATCTGTCAGTATTTAATTCACTATCATAGGAAACGGTTCGAAACAAATCTATATATAGTGTATAATTGTTAGAACGAATTGTTGAATTATTACAAAAGCAACATTAACTCCTATTTAATTTATTACATAGTATCTGTAAGTATAATATATGGATAAATATTTTTTATAGTAGTTCAATTGAATAATAAATTGCTAACCAATTATTTAATATTGTAATTTATACGGAAAAATTATACAAACTTATGAAGAAGTTGTATATTTCGTTACTTCTATGACAAACGAATATCGAAAGACTTGATGCAAAACTTAGTAGTAAATATTTTTTTGTTACTTCTGAATAAATTCAGTGGTCTACAAGGAATATTCATTGGAATATGCTTTTCTAAACTCATTTTTGTGCCGATTTCAAATCTATAATTCAATTTTTTCTATCGCCTCTTTTTGAGATGATTACTTTTAGCTTCAATGCGTAGCTGAGAAGGTATTAATTTTACTATGATGTGTTTTTTTTTGTGTCTGTATACGCTCAATCTCAGCTCTCACTGAACCGATTTTGATGAAAAATATGTCAAAAAATCACAAATCGTATCTAATTGAAAACATTACCCTCAAAATTTGAAAAAAATTCCTTGTTCCCCGTAAACGAAGGAAATCCCTCAAAAAGTTTCAAATTTAAAAATCGCTAATTTTTTATATTTTTCAATTTTTTTTACTTAAAATTGCTATAACTTTTTTAAAAATGACCGAATCAATATAATTTTTTTTTTTATAGATAACTTAGGTATTCACCTATCATTTTATTGTTAAATATGCTATTTTTGTGAAAAAATTCTTGATATTAAATTTTACATTTTTTAACATTATGTTGCTATAACTTTTTAAAAATGTATGAATAAATTCTATTCTTTAATAATAAATACTATATATATGCTTCTTTCATTCGATATACTTTTTTTTTATCGGACCATTTCTTTTTATACAGGGGGGGATTTTTNTTTTATACAAGGGGGGATTTTTGAGATGTTTAGTTATTAGTAAAAAACGTGTATTTACAAATAAAAAATTCCAGCACATTGGGGTTGCGGTACAGTGAAGACGTGGCATAGTTGGGTCAAGTATAATGATATCTGACAATGATTAAAATCACAATCATAATAAACGCTTCGATGCAAATTTATATATAGTGTTTAATTTAAAAAATTGGTCGATTATTCCAAAAGCTACAAGATCTCTTATTTCCTTATATTTTATTAATTTAAAAAAAAAGTATATCAAATAGAAGGAGTTGATATGAAGTATTTAGAAAAAAAATTTGTATTCATCCATACATTTTTCAAAAAGTTATAGCAATTTAAGTTTAAAAGTAAAAACATGTTTAAATTATTAAATGTTACTATTCATAATTTTTTGGGGTTTTTTAGCTTTCACGTGAAACTGAGATGGTATTAATTTATGTGTTATTATTGTTTTTTTTTTGTTCTAATAGTATACTGTAAAATCAACATCTTCTCAACTTTGCGTCGGAGTTAAAATAAATAAAATATTATTTGTCATTTATGAATGTATGATTGCATGAACGAGAAAATAGAAAAATTAAAGAATTATTATTAAATTATATTAAAGAAATTTTATGTAAACGTTGCAAAGTAAGTATAAAAATTTTTTTTTTAATATATTAGTTTCTATGAAATTTTGGTTACACCTTAAAAAATACAACGTATAATTAAAATAAATAATAATCACCGGATAATCTTCAATTATTGGTGAGTAACAACCATCCTGAAAAAAAATTATAAAGCAAAAATCACTCTAATATGATTGTATAGCACATTATGGGCTTAATTTAAAAAAAAGTTTTAAGTACGCATAACTTCCAAAATATTAAAAATTTTGTCTAAAAAATCTCTTTGTTTGCAAATATTTAAAAAAAATATAAGCATATGGTATTTTTACAAACATTTTTGAAAAAGTTATACCAATTTAAGTTTAAAAGTAGAAACATATTGGAATTAGTAGATTTTATCAAACATAACTCTTATGGAATTTTTTGAATTAGAAGTTGAAAAAGAAACAGAAAACATAACAGAAGCATCATAGTAAAATCAAAATATTCTCAGCTTTGTATTGGAGTTGATATAAATATAACATAATTTTATAATAAAAATTGATCACTAGTGACTAATTAATTAAATAAAATTAAAATTATATTAATAATATTATTAATTTAGAAACTAAAAAATATTAAATTCAAAAGCCACAAAAAATTACTGAAAAGTTGTAGATACGTATTTCGGAAACAATGTTACCAATATCAACGCTAAACTTATACATTGCCATTTATGAATGATGTATGAACAATTAAATTAATTAAATTAAAGAATTATTATTAAATTATATTAGAAAATTGTTATGTTAAAATAAATAATCATTACCAGAAGAGATCTGTTTTTAGTATTTTGTCTGGTGCGGCTGGTTTCCTTTATACCAATTTCAGTTTAAAAGAAAAAACATATTGAAATTAGTAGATTTTATTATTTGTTCTTTTTATCGGTATTTTTTTATTAGAAGTTGAAAAAAGTAGAGGAAAACATAACAAAAGCATCATAATAAAATCAAAATATTCTCAGCTTTGTATTGCAATTAATATAAATACATAATGTGTCATTTATGAATATATGATTCAAAGAACAATTAAATTAATTAAATTAAAGAATTACAATTAAATTATATTAAAAAAATATTTTGTTATAATAAATAAATTAAAATAAATAATAATTACCGGAAAAGATATGGTTTTTTGAAATGCACTGGTGTTTCTTGATTCCTTTGTACCAAATTAAGTTTAAAAGTAAAACCATATTGCAATTAGTAGATTTTATTAATCGTAATTTTTATGAATTTTTTCTATTAGAAGTTGTAAAAAGTAATGGAAAACATAACAAAAGTATCATAGTAAAATCAATATATTCTAAGCTTTATATTAGAATTAAAATAATACATAATTTGTCATTTATGAATGAATAACTGCATGGACAATAAAATTATTAAAATTAAAGAATTACTATTACATTATATTAAAAAATTGTTGTTAAAATAAATAATAATTACTTGATAAGTTCTAATATCTCTTCGGGATCGGTGTGTATCCTTTATACCAATTTTATTTTAAAAGTAAAAACATATTGAAATTAGTAGATTTTATTAATCATAATTTTTATGAATTTTTTCTGTTAGAAGCTGAAAAAAGTAACTGATAACATAACAATAGCATCATAGTAAAATCAATATATTCTCAGCTTTGTATTAGAATTAAAATAATACATAATTTGTCATTTATTAATGTATGATTGCATAAACAATTAAATTAAATAATTATTATTAAATAATATTAAAAAAAATATTTTGTTATAGTAAATAAATTAAAGTAAATTATAATTACCGGAAAAGATAGGATTTTTTGAAATGCACTGGTGTTACTTGATTCCTTAATACCAAATTAAGTTTAAAAGTAAAACCATATGAAAATTAGTAGATTTTATTAATCATAATTTTTATGAATTTTTTCTATTAGAAGTTGAAAAAAGTAACTGATAACATAACAAAACGGTAGCACAGTGAGGTCGCGGCATAGTGGAGACATTGCATAGTAGGGTCCAGTATAGATTTAATCTGACAGTGATTAAAATCACTATCATAAGAAACGCTTCGATGCAAATCTGTAGATAGTGTTTAATTTTAAAAAATTGATGGATAATTGCAAAAGCAACATCAACTTCTATTAAAATAAAATACAAAACCCATAATTATCATACAAAAATAGTATATTTTTCAATATGGTAGCCATTTGCGNGTGTTTCTTGATTCCTTTATACCAAATTAAGTTTAAAAGTAAAACCATATTGAAATTAGTAGATTTTATTAATTGTACTTTTTATGGGTATTTTTCTATTAGAAGTTGAAAAAAGTAGCGGAATACATAACAAAAGCATCATAGTAAAATCAATATATTCTCAGCTTTGTATAGGACTTAAAATAATACATAATTTGTCATTTATGAATGTATGATTGCCATACCCCCTAAAACAGCCCCAGCCGTTTTCTCTCATTAGGATGACGGGAGGTGTACACGGCCAAGAGTTTATGGTGAAAGGCTAATGAGTCCTCATTCCCAAAAAGGTCATGAATATAATTGAGCGTGCTCTCCTCACTCTCTTATCTAGTACAGAAGATATCACAAGTATGGGAGGTTAAGAGTAAATCTAAATGTGGGGGTACATTATCATATAAGAAGGATGCATATACTATGAAAAAATGAATAGTTTATTAGAAATTACTTATTAAATTGTAATTAATAAGTAATAATGAGATAAAAATGATTACGTTAATGTCTGAAGAACTCCTCATATTAATGATTGGGTACAGTTTAAGTATATTTTTTTATCATCTTCGGCAAACCCTAATATATGCGACTGTGGTATAGTACCAGAAAAATATGTACAGTCGAAAAAGTCTTTATTTACTCCAGTAGTAGTATTTCCATGCTACAGTAGGTAGTTCGTTAATATAGCGGGGCTATATGAGCAATAGCCTTTCAAAATAGATGTAACGCCCAGGTTGTGTACTTTTTGTATTTGAGTACCGTTTATTTTATAGCGTATTTCAAAAAATAAATATGACATTGCTGTCTCAGTCACGGATTGTTTATTATCAGTTATGATTATGAATAGATATACTTTCTGTATTGTCAGTTAGTGTATTTATAAACTCATAACAATGTGCCTTACTACAATTGATAATAACAATGCTGTGTACCTGCTAATATCGATGTTATAAAAAACCAATTAGCTAACTGTATTTACAATCCCATGTGTATTATACATGAATATTAACTCAAAATTTTGAAACTTTAAATGTTTATATCTAATAAACGAATTAAGTTATATTAAAAATTCAAATGCCATTTACTATTAAATTAAAAACTCAAACATTTTATTAAATTAAAAATTTGTGTTACCATTTAAAAAAACAAAGTTGACCCCCCTCCAAGGCATAAGGGATAAACTTAAAAAGTATTACATAGTTAAAAATTCAAGAATAATGTGTAACTAAAGATAATAAAAAAAAAAAATGTTTAAATTATTATTATTCTGCAAGTAATTGAGTGGGTTATGATAAAAAAATCACCCTGTATATTATTGTGTTGTGCCGAATGCGGACTGCGACCGCAGTCAATGTATTGTTGAACATCCTAAAAATTTGATATACTATACATTAATATCCAATCATCTATACTCTATAACTGTGAAAATAACAGATCAAGACGATAAAACAATTAACTTTAGAGGTGAGCCTCTTATCATACGTCTACATATACGCGATGGCTCTTCGAATCGACATTAACGTAATCAAATTGTTCGATACGAACGAGTTTTCTGAAGAACTTAAATACAGTACGGACACTTCTGGTGATATTAGGTTGTCAAACTATTAGACACGAGTGCCGTAGTAACAGAAAAACTGAAAAGCATCAATTAAACTAACAAAAGTCGTATGGAATATGCCAATTGTCAAAATAGCCATTTTTTCGGGTAAACACTGTTTAAAACCAAGATTAATATTAAAAAAACCCAGCACAGTGGGGTCGCGGCATAGTGGGGATGTTGCATAGTTGGGTCCAGTATAGATTTAATCTGACAGTGATTAAAATCACTATCATAAGAAACGCTTCGATGCAAATCAGTAGATAGTGTTTAATTCTAAGAAATTGGTGGATAATTACAAAAGCTACATTATCTGCTAGTTTCTTATTAATACCCTGATTAAGATNATAAAAGCTACATTATCTGCTAGTTTCTTATTAATACCCTGATTAAGATAAAGTATGTCGAATGAAAAAGGGATTATTAAAAA